CAAAAGGCGAAATTAAGCTTCTAGTGTGTTTAAAAACAATAGGTTATATAATATTTATTTTACTTAAGTAACAAAAAATTATTTATTTAAAGTCGTTTCTTTCACAGCACAATAGTGAGGCTGCACAAAGTGCGATTGCGGTACCAACTTGGTTTGTGTCAAGTGGCACAAACTTGAATTACAAACAAACTGTAATGATAGTGAGTCTATTTCAACAATTAATTTATTTGTCTTTGTTATCTACAAAAGAACTGACACGTTAGTGGAAAGGTCAACACAACACACGGATGACGGTATTAATCATTTATCAGAATCCGTTTATTTACTTACAGAGCGATTGAGGTCTGAGCTTCTCCAAATATATATTTTTATTAAAGTTAAAATTTAATAGTTTATGATAATACTTATTATATTTATGTATTTAGGCATAAAATTTAATTTACCGTATTGAAACAGTTTGAGAATCACTGTAGTAGAAGCGTATTAATGCGCTGGGAAGCCCGCGATTCAACTACATACTACATAGAGGTGGAGACATAATAGTGCCAACACACGGCCGAATTCAGTTCGCTCCGTACAAAATCTGTGCGTGTGAAGAGTAGTATGCCGACAATATTAATTATTATTTCTTGGTCACGCGGTCCGATGTTTTACACGTCGAACTCGGCCTACTCCTAACTGAATCCGCTCGTGTGTTGCATCAGACCGCCATTAGTTACGATCGAAACGCCGTGGAGGTTGAAAATACTTTTACGACACATCTAAAGTCTGTTGATTTCTAAATGTTATTTATGCCATCAATGATTATTTAAATAATATAAATGATAAATTACATGACAAATTATAAATACATAATAAGTATACATAAATAAACTCTCACTCCTAGTACCCAGAGGGGTAGGCAGAGACTTTCGTTTGGCACGATCCTGACATCTATTTAACTTCTTTCACATCTATAATATAATATCTACACTACACATACATGCTCGTCAGTTGAGGGTACTCTCACAGACTAATAAGAAGGGTACTCTTAACTTGGTCCATCTTCAATATTCATGTATGGGGTTTTCCGTCAAGTAAATATCTATAATCATGCTACATGTAAATGTTACATTAGTTAATTTAGTATTAGATTATTATAGTATTTTTTTACAAAGTTAATTGAGAATTTAATCTGATATTGCTGTGCCTAATGGGAATTCATTGTAACTTAAGTTTGTTTTACGTATAATATAATTGTTGCTGGGTCCAATACAGGCCCATGCCCAACAGTGGACTTTTACAGACAGAAAATCGTGTAAAGGCAGGAGAGATTTTTTTAATTAGAAATCAAATATGGAATATGAACGTGATTAAAATGGCTCTCCGGCACCTTAAAAACAGCAAGGCTCCGGGTGACGATGAAATTACAGCGAAGTATCTGAAAGCGGGTGGAACACTAGTACTTGAAGTCCTTCAGAAGCTCTTCGATTGCGTCCTCAATGGTGGCACTACTCCGGAGACGTGGAGGAGAAGTGCGGTGATTTCGTTCGTTTAGAAAGCGAAAACACTCTCTGGAAGAACTACAGAACGATTTCCCTTCTAAACCACATCTACGTGCTGTTTTCGAGAGTCATTGCGAACCGTCTCACATGCAGACTCAACAACTTTCAGCTTCTCGAACAAGCCAGTTTCCGAAAAGACTTTAGTACCATATAGGACATACATTACCCTTCGGCAAAATGTACATAAGATCGAAGAGTACAATCTACCACTTTACGTTTCGTATGTCGATTATGAGAAAGCCTTGGATTCCTTCGAAATTTGGGCAACACTACCGTCCCTTCAGCGGTATGAAGTTGATTGTCGGTATCTGTCGGAACTGGAAAGCCAACCTTCGATTTGCCAACGATATAGTCCTTACGGCAGAATCACTGAAGGACCTAAGCACTATGCTCAATGACCTCGATAGTGCCTCCCAACGGATAGGTCTTAAGATGAACATGGACAAAACAAAGATCACGTGTAACGTCCATGTCACACTTATGTTAGTTAGTTATTGGGAGCATTAAACTCGGAACAAATAGTCCGACCAGGTAAGTCCAACTTCAACCGAGAGGTCAATCGACGGATTTAACTCGGCTGAGCGTTCGGGAGATTACTACACATCTTCTCATAGGTAAATTGCAAAACCTGAAACAAGATTGTACAACCAGTGCATGTTGCCAGTGATGACTTATGGATCTGAGAAAAGGTCCTTCACTGCTGGCCTTATGAGGAAACTCAAGATCGCTCAGTGAGCTATGGAGAGGGCTATGCTGGGGATTCCTTTACGTGATTGACTTAAAAATGAGGATGTCCGCAGTACAACTAGAGTAACCGACATACTCCAACGGATTAGTAAGCTGAAGTGGCAATGGACCGGCCATATAGCTCGAAGAACCGACAACCGATGGGAAAGAAAGTTTCTCGAGTGGCAGCCTCGTACCTGTAGGCAAAGTGTAGGGCGAGGGAGGGAGGCCCTTAGATTGAGTGATGACCATCGAATCGAAAAATTTCATTTAATGTCTATTTCATATTCATAGACCAATACTTCTTAACATTTTTTTATAGGCACATATAACGACAGTCATAGGGCAAAACGGATGATGGAATTTCTAACACCACCACAGGACCTAGGTTATTACGAGTACATGTGTTCAATGGGTCACACCAAGATGTTCTAATTTGACAATAAAACCTATATAGCTTTAAAGCTTTGCTTATGAAAATAACAATAGTTTTTGTTTCATCCAAATTGGTGCAGAAATACGAACGTTATACGCTCGTTCTCTATGACGTGACGACACAAGCCGACAGAGCGAATGCGCAGTGGTACTTGCTAAGTTCAGTACTAATCGCGCGCGCGGAAGTATATGGTCGTTTACCTACATATTATATATAATGTCAGAGTTAATGTCAGGTTGATTGTATTAGATGACATAATACTTATAATAAACCCAACGACTATGTCATAATTTTGAACCATTGAGTTATAAATAACTCAATGTTTTGAACTAATAATTTATGAATAATCTAATCTAATATGAATAATCTAATCCAATGTAATCAACATTATTTAAGATGAATAATTTCATCTAATAATCTAATCTATTATTATGAATAATGTAATCAATGAACTATTAATAATATGTGACATTTGTATGCCCATGAGGCTGATCACATACTGAACTTTATTAGTGTTTAATTAAGACCTTTTTGTAAACTGTGAATCACAAATAAACTATTTGATTTGATTTATAAACTAAAGTATTGAACATTTAGCGTCTAAAATGATTATATTTGTATATATAGTCACGGTGTGTAGTGCTGTAAAAAAAAGAAAATGGAAGCGGCTTTGAAAAAAGTCAGATATTTTGCCAAAAGTGGATATTATTATGGTTGCGGAGTATTTTTCAGAAAATTATGATTTTTTATCATCAGAAATGTGTGAAATAAAGCTCTAAAAGTAAGTTACTAATAAAAGATTACGAAAAGTATACAGCTTTACCATTGATTAGTAACTAGGCAGTAATACATAGGTAGGTATTAACTGACCGAACCACGAAGATGCATATGTTTTACAACGACATAAAATGAAAAAAAAACTTACTTAAACTTAGTAATGCAGTGAGTATTAATCATCTCGTACTGTTATATAGTGACACGTGAAGAAATTTTGTTGGTTACGTAGTTCGTCAGTGGTTGGAAACATATTGTCCTAGTTTTACTTTGACTTTTTTTATCAATATGGCCCTTGGTATTGTGGTTATGTCACAATAATTCTGCCAATGTCCGGTCTTTGGTCTGTCACACTTTGTCTTAAGACTTTTCGGTGGGAAAGGATTTAGCGGTTATTAGGTGGAAATATGACTAAAAAGAAAGCAACTAAATACATGAATTGTGGACCACACAATATAGAGCAATCATCTAGTTATAGGAGGGGATTACTTTGACTTACTTTTGAATAATCTGATTGCGGTATTACGTTGGTAGTTGGTACCTTTTCTGTTTTGAAAATGCAATGGTCGCAAACATTCAATGCGTCTAATACTAAACTGATTTTGATGAAATTTTGCATTAAGGTGTAACTTGATCTACAGGATTTTATCTTCTCATATCGCACTTTTATTCCCACGGAGCGTGATATAACAGAAATTAAAAAAAAAAAAACAGAAAATAAAAGTTACTGATAAATAAATAACATGACAAGAAAAATATGGAGTAACAAATATGGAGAGAATAAAAAAATATAACAATAAAGACTACTGGTGGCTTCGACGTGTCGTTTTGTGACGTCACATTGCGATGCGGAGCAAAGCGGTCGCCCTTACCGTAGAACACCACTTTACTCATCAATATTTCAGTCATTTTTAAAGGTAGAATAAAATAAGAACACCATTGAATTCATAATTTTTTATACAATTTTTTGATACCCTTAACAAAATTGGGTGGTCAGACCCGTTCAATTTAATTTATTATTCATTGCTCCCTGAGAAGGATTAAAGAAATAAAATGATTGACTTCTCCATTTACAAATTTTTTTCACTTATCGTATTGATATACTTACAGAATTAAATCAAAGATTAAAGGTTGGAGAATATTCTTATTTAAAAATGGTTACCGTTTGATTAATCTACCAGAAGGACATTGAATTAAAATAAATTTGAGATACGAATAAGAATTAAGATATGAAATTAATATACTATTACTTACGAGTACATATTTCGATGGAAGTCGATGGACGTAGGTGGCTTAGGACCGTGCTTTGACATTCCTTGTGGAAGGCCTATGTTCAGCAGTGGACTTGTGAAGGACTGTGATGAAATATGAAAGACGTCTTCGAACATAGCTATGCGTTCGGTCCGATTGTCTGTTGCGAACAGCGGACCCGGGCCGCCGCACCAAATAATCTTGTCCGGCCCTAACTAAATTCGACCGTGTGTTAAAACTATAAAAGTCGTCCACACTGGATTATAAACGAGTTTCGCGGCGGGCAACGACGAGGACACACGTCGTCTTCATATCGTCGGTTTATATTACCTTTGGCAAGTTGGCTCAGAAATCAGAATACGGAACGTGCCAGAGCCCAAGCGGCAATTGGTGCAATCATCTTGTTGAGCGTAAACAAACGAGTGAGTATGATTCTCTTTATGTAACTTCGGCCTTCTGTGCGCAGCCGGCCGGCAAAGTGGTATTTTCTTTTTTTACCGATCAACTCAGACTAATCAATCACATACTTACGTACACAGTAACAAGTACAGATTGAACAAACATATCATAATATCTTATTTGCATATTTTAACCGTGGGATTTGTCTTAAAAACTTTAGTCTAAGCAATAAAATTTTCAAATAATGTATAGTTGTTGTGATGTGAGGCATACAAATAAGTTAGTTGCGACTTTAAAAATACAGTAACCGATCTAACGGGATACAAAACAAGTTACGTCAGATACCTATGAACCTTTTTAATAACAAACTGAAGACAAAACATAGGTACGTGTTGTTTGTACAGATTACACTCATTGATTTATATACATTTGGCAATAGTATTAATATGTATTTAGAACGGAAATGACCTTTTTTATCAACCGACTTCAAAAAAAGAAAGAGGTTCTCAATACAATTGTATTTTTTTACGTGTGTTAGGTACCTCTAAACTTTTTCTATACGACCGGTAAAAAGCTGGTGCTTCTCATGTGGTCCCGTGCGTGGTGTGTACGTATGGTTCCATATAAATTGATCAAGGTCTGACTAGTAGTTTTTGAGTTATTCTTAATAATGCGTATTTAATTGACTTCGACTACATTGATGATATTTTCATTTTATTTACAATGAAGTCGGTTGTACAAAACTTTTAATTTTACCACTTGTTGATAATAATTAGATCATTAAAAACCAGTAACGCAAAAAAGGTGAGGAGCATCTAAAGCCGCTAAAAATTAGTGCAATCGGCAACATATCGGCAATCGCAAATCCGCTTGAAAAAGCAAATTTCGATAAAGCCTTTCGAGAAGGCAATTTCAACAGTTTCTTGGGTCTAAAATGATTAAAGTTTTATTTCAGTATATTATGCAAAATGATAACAAGTAAAAAAATCTCTGCCTACTTTTTTTAACCCTAATTGACATGAAATAATAAAACAATTTTAGCTAAACGTCATGATAGCAACGCATTCGGTAAGCGTCAATTGCAATATGGAACATCTTTGATAAACAAATACCTAGTCGTAGTTTAAACATGGGTTGTAAGAAGTTTCCCCGACTTGCAATTAAAGATAATTCTGTATAGTTTTGTTTTTACTTATAAAACCCTATTAATTATAAAGTGTATTAAATATAAATTAAAAGTACTTAGCTTAGGACTATAGCAGCACTGTCAAAACTTACGGAAGTTAGATTTACGTTATGGAATATGAAATTAAGTTTAATTTCAGTGAATTGGACTCCATTTTAAAGAATAATTCTAATCTTACACACATATAAATACAATTTATAACATATGTAATAAAATTTAATCAAAATAACTACCTTAATTTGAGCTGACGGGGTAATTTATATGCCAAGACATAAATATCCATTTTTACAATTTTTGTCTGTCTGTCAGTCTGTCCGGCATAATCTTCGGAATGGCTAAACCGATTGTAATGAAACTTCACGAACTGATTGAAAGCAATGCCAGGAGTGATTTAGCCTAGATTTTAAAAAACTTTGAGATTTTTTTGTATAAACGAAATATGGTAAAATAAATGGTCAAACCTAAATAAGGCCACATCTATAGATCCTAGCCAGGCAAAGCTAGGGCGGGATGCTAGTCTGAAATAATAATAATAATGTTAAATATGCAATAATTTATTACGTCAAGTTTGACTTAATATTAAGAATTTTACTAAGACATTTTGCTCTCTCAACGTACCTATCTACGATTGTAGTTGATGTCATCTTCACGTGGACTTCACTCTTGTTGGTCTCAATTATGTTATTTTCACATTCTCTTTCTTAGTTTCCGTCTTACCAATGCGTGCTGACAATCTCTAAATTTATGATTAATTCTCTTTTATTTATCGTTAAGAGTTGATACAACTAACACTAAACTAACCTGTATTTTAAATCGATGTAAAGCCGCATCAACATATCATTGGCTTTTCTTGCTTAATTGTTATAGTTGACTGGTTCTCTACGTAGCATTGGACAGCCTATTCTCTACCTTTATCCATTCTGATGACCCTGCTGATATTTGCTATTTTTTACATCACCTAAATAATAACATACCTAACTTCATCGATCACTAATAAAGATCGATGCCTAAATTAAAGTACTTTGAATAAGCATTAAGTACCTATATTTCCCTTTCCCACGATCGTCTTTTTATCATAAATAGACCAAACGTTTGCCCAAGATCCTAACTTAGATCGATTTGTTGTTTCTTCTTCGTTCTACTGTCAATCTTTCCCTCCGCACTTCTTTTATACGTTTTTTAATTTCAAAAGTACATTAAAACACTTAGGTACACATAGTACTCTAACTCCTTCACACTTTTCCCACATATTTTTATCACTTAATTTTTTTTAAACGAACCCAAATGCTAGTGAATATTTGCTTTGCAATAACAATTAACAATGCTCTGGGCATGGATCTCACAAGCAGCTGCTTCTCGCTTAGTCAACTCTCCGGGACGCTGTCTTGTGTTAGCTATGCTGCCGACTTACTTTTTAGCACCACATACGTGTATAGATATTTTTTAGGGTTCTGTACATCCAGACGGAACCTTTTTAATTAGTTTTTTTTTTCGACTATTTTCCCAGCCCGGAATAATAAATAGTAGTAAAATAGTAGAAAAATAATATTAAATGTTTAGGTGAAGCAAGAATCCAAGACAGAAAAGCGTGGGAGATCGTCTGGGTAGATAGATATCACCTTCTTGCCTATTTCCGCCGTCAAATAACAGAGCAAAGTACAGCGTTATGCAGCAACGGCCTACCCGTAGCTAATGTAACTCATTAGGCGAAATAAATGCGAAAATAGTATCGTGGTCACGAGCGAGTAACGGCGATATGCTCCTGTTTTCCCGGCCCGCGCGCAATTTTATTGCACGAAATTTATTTGATATTTCTTTTTAAAATGAAATATACTCTTTTATTGGAAAATAAACCAATAACTCCCTCATGTATTTACCGGTGAACACATGGATAGAATTTAATTGAAGTTGCTTTAATTACATTCGAATGAAACTGCTTTTTCTTTTAATGGACGTACCTAAAATTGTAGATGTTGAGGAAACTGCGATTTTTTTGTATCGAGCCAAAATGTGTCAATTGTGTTTCGGCCATCATAATTCTCCAAGGAAAATCTTTAACTTTCATAATGATCTTAAAAAAGGTGAACTCATAGTTTTTAATGACAAAAAATTGATTTTCTGCGCACCCATAAAGCGTGACAAATCTGCTTTTATGGCCCATTTCACCTTAAGAAAAGTGAGTGCCCCATTCTATGCGGACAAGGGCTGCACTATAATATGTCCAATCCAATTCACTAGATGATAGGACTGCTTTTCTCCATTGGAGTTAGTTTTGGGAACCATACGGTTGTCAATCCCAAATTTAAAAAAAACTTGGTTTTCAAGTTGGAAAAATCAGGACAATTCAGTTTAAAAACCGTACGCAGTAAAGGCCTTGTCAAACATAACTGTGAACCGAACCGAACCGACAACGTGACGAATAGAAATATGTTATGTATATTATATGCAAGTATCGGTTCGTTTTCACCATACCATACATACAATACATAACAATATAAAAACGCCGTAAGGCCGCCCGTAATGTAAGAATTGTAAAATACATGACCTTTAAAAACCCAGGACGCTGCTTAAAAATTATCCAGTACATTCCAGGACACTACAAAAACTAGGACATGTCCTGGGAAAACAGGACGGTTGGCAACCCTAAGATACCACCCTCTTACCTATTTGTGCCGCCAAATAACAGCTAGTGTCAGTATAATCACAGGCGATCTTTGTTCTCAAGGCTGACAACGCATCTTCCTCCTTTGTATAAAGTTGGTTGCAGGTGTCCACTGTCCATCGACTGCAGTAGCCTTATGATGGTAAATCATCAGGTGGACTGCGAGCTCGCCTGTCACGCTTATTCTATAAAATAAATTAAATAACAGAAGGTAAACTATGGCCGTATTAAATAAACCTACACCTTGGAATTTAAACTTTTCAATATAATTTAACTTGCTAGTGCTACCATATCTTGTGTTACACATATTATAGTGTAACTGATTGCTACTCAGTATTTCGCTAACGTTTCATTCGAGGATGGTTTTCGATATAAATAAATACAAAGATACAAATAAATTCACTTAAGTTTTTTTTTTATATATAAATAATATTTTTTTTGTATCTACAATATTAAAAACTATGATAATAAAAAAAAAAACTAAAACTAGAAACTTAATTATCATATAGTCCTACTCCCCGCGGTATCGTGCCAAGAACGCTGGCTGCGTTTCCCCGCTGAATGGCTATACTTAGCCTTTGAGCGAGGAAAGAACCAGCCCTCTTATCACCAGCAGCAACGACCAGCCGCGGATGGAGTTCCTTTAAGAACTCCACCGCACGTGGACCCCACGGACCGATAGTCTCTACAGCAAATGGCACAAATATGTAGTCATCTCTCAGAGACTCATATTTGCGCCACTTACTCAGTTCAGCTGCCTCTGATGCCGCCCCGGCTTTAAACGAGGTACCCCTGAGATGAGAGGCCGCCAGAGTGTCTACGCAAGTAGCATCCCACACTAGGGCTTTACCTCTCTCCCAAGGGACCAATGTCATACCGTCGGGTCTCCTGCCATCGTTTCTAAATATTCCACAAGGCTCTAAAACCGAGGGAACATTTATAGAGGCAAGAGCCCTTCGGATGACATCGTTCAAAGAATTGTGTCTTGAAAACATACCAGCGCTTTTCTTACATGAAAGTCCGTGGAGCCCAAACTTGTCGATGCTGCTACCACAGGGGCACTGATGGGGTTGACAAATCGCCGCTCCTAGTCGTATTCCTACGACAATACGCAAGCTTTCCCTATCAAGTAATGTGCCGAGATTACTTGATGGTAAAGCGTGTAACCAGTGTCTAGATTCCTTAGTCGAAACAGCTAGAAGGCGTGCCTTATCTTGGTCACTATGGAAATTATGAAACAAATCCTTCTGCACGCCCTGTACCAACGGAATATCCCACTGTTTTTGTTGGTTAACTTCCAGTGGAATATTTTCACCAGGACAGAGCGTTTGCCATGTCTGCCCTGCCTCCGTAGCAAAGCATAGGTCTACTTTATTATTTAAAATTATGTTACATAAGTCACTGACACTATGCACGGAAGAAAGCAGGCAATGCAACGCTAGAAAGATTTCTCTCACCAATGCCACCAAATTTTATAGGTAAAGTAGCTTGAATCCAGGCTGTTGTATTTAAAGTTAAATTTAGAATTTTTTCTATAGCAATTTTAAGATTATTATCAATATCTTGTAAAATATCCGAACATTTCCAGACTGGACTCGAGCGGAGTAAGTATGTAAATCTAGGTACAAGAAGACAATATTTTAAAATAGTAAGAGCTATGTGGGGGTTTAATTTATACAATTTATCAACGTGGTTTAAAAACTGATCAAATTTTGTTTTTAAAACAGGTCTAATACTATCGAAAAACAACGGGGCACCTAGCAGGTATAGTGATTCCGTATTGACAGTTTTTATTCCTGGACAAATATGATTAAAATTTTGAATTAAAGTGTCTCTATCAGAAGTAGATAAATTATTGGAAAAAAATATTTCACATTTATTGCTATTTGGTTCAAGGCCAATATTTTTAAAATTTCGAAAAATATGAGTAAGATCGCTGAGGACGTCATCTGCTCTACCTCCCAGTGTACCGTCGTCTAGGTACCAGACATTCAGCTTGGATTTCAAATTTGAAATAATGGGTTGAATTCCCAAACTGGAAAGTGCTGGACCCAGAGGGTCACCCTGCTGAACACCAACAGCAGAATCGAAAACATGGTTTTCGTAAAACAAGTTAGTATTTTGACTATAACATTGCCAAACGTAATGATAAATTTCAGGGCTATTGTTAGCCACTTCTTTCAGCAAGGTTACCCTATCGATAGAGTTAAAAGCATTCCTTAGGTCAACCTTCACAAGAACATCTGCATCAGAGTTTGTTAAAAATGTACGCACTGAATGTACCGCCGCCTCACAGCCACCTCTAGTGCCAAAACCTATTTGAGTAGGCTGAAATTTGGTCTTAAGGTTAGAGATTATGTACCTGCAAGCTAATTTTGAAGTTAAGCGTCGAAATGTGGAACCAACGGCAATAGGACGGATACCGTTATCCTTTTTTTTTGAAGGCACATAATCTTGCCACATATAAGAATGGAATGAAATTTGGATTAACATTACCAGAAAACATAAAGTTACATAATTTTGTAATGTCTTTAAGAAGTACTCCGCCGGCGTCACCGGCAGAAGCGCTTACAAGATCTTTAAGATGTTGAGGCGTAATTCCGTCAATGCCGCCAGCAGACCCATTCGAAAATGACATAATTGATTCTAAAGTGTCTTTTTCCGAAATTTGTAAAGGTTGCATAGAAGTCTTGGGAGGCAGCAGTAAACCCTGAGACGGTTTGACCGAAGGATGCTTTTGACGAAGGCTTTCAAGAGTTTCGACATTACGAGGAGCCAGGATGTCGTCTGAGAATAAAATACGGGATGCATTTTTTAAGTCGCCATCCATTACTTTCGACTCAACTACTTTTTCGTTCTTTTTCGTATTTTATTAGTCCATGTATACGTTACTAAGTTCTAACTATAATATTTACGTAATTCATGTAAAATAAGTGATTATTGTATGATTTAAAATACATAAAAAGGCGTATAAGTCATCTGAGGATTTGGATCACTCCTTGATACGGTCTATAATAATATAAACAGGCCAGTCATCTGCGCTTGCGACACTCTAGGCTGTATTATAATAATTATAATATTCTAAGAGTTTAAGTTGATCTTGACTTGTTGTTGATCCTTGTGGGGCACTAGGTCAGAGCCATGAATTTATCATTAATATCATTAATAAATATTATTGTCATCGGTTCTTAATATGTCTGCAAAGTTTCTAATTATTTATAGATATATAGGTGAGATATAAAATTTAATCTATATAATAAGCGACTCTGACTGACTCACTCACTCATCACAAGATCTCCAAAACCATACTCTCGATTGACTTGAAATTTGACATATATACTACTTTCTCGACGTGGACACCCACTAAGAAATGATGAAATTCAACTCCTGGGAGGGTGTTACATAGTTCTGCTTACATTTATTTTTAAATTTATGTTACACAATTTACAAGGAGACATCTTATCTCATTCGCGATTCATTTGTCGTATGCGAAGATATACAAATAAATTAAAAGATAACTTATGACATAATTTGAACTTTAAGGTTCGCCATCGTGCTTATTTTCAAATCTCTAATAGACTGCGAGATAATGACACTTATACCATCCATGATGTAACGGAATATTTTAATGTAATTTTCACCAACTGGTAGACGGTCGATTGACTTGAAAATTTGCAATATAATAATTTAATAACTTTCTCCTAATATCCCGATCAGGATTACCAGAATAAAATAAAATAATTATCAGGGTCATCACAGCTCATGACCAATGCGTGTTAAGTTTTATTAAACTCTTATAATAGGTATCTATTGTTATTAAGTTTCCACAAGGTGAGTGACTACTTATTGGTTTTCATATCAACTCTGACGTTGATGGACATCATACAAATTATTATGTAGATACTCATTAGGTACTGGTTTCCTTAGATTTTCGAAACCGATAATATTCAATTATAATTGTTTATTAATAAGTTATTTTGAAATTTGCGGACTGTCCGACTGTAATTTTATTTTAATTTGCAATCAAAACACTTACACACCCATGAAAGACGTTTTTTGCATACTAAATGAGCAATAACATTTGTGTAACATACTTATTTGTCTTTAACAAAGTACCAATATCATACTTAAATTATTGTTTTCTTTTCTAATATCACACCGTAAATAATGCTAAATGTTTTGTAGGTGCTCGCGACGACAAAAATGTAAAATATAATACATTAGCGTAAGAATTAATCGTGTATAGAAAAAAATGTGATTTCAGACAATTGTATAGTGAAAATGTTAAACAATAAGAGGCAAAACGCACAATGGCAAGCGGCTCACTTTAAAGTAAAGCTCGAGTCTACCTTCGAGGCCCAGTAACAAAGTAGTAGCTGAAATGACTCGTAGCCGAACCAAGCTATTAACAACATAGTAGCTGATAATAGCAGCCAGTAACATGTGATAGTAATAGCTAGTTGTACAACATAGTAGGTGCTAATAGCAGCTAATAACCAGTGATAGTAATAGCTAGTTATACAACATAGTAGCTAATAATACAAGCTAGTAACAAGTGATAGTAGTGATATAGTAGTAGTACAACCTAGTGGCTGATAATAGCAGCTAGTGACAAGTGATATTAGTAGCATAGTACAACGTAGTAGCTGATAATAGCAGCTAGTGACAAGCGATTTTAGTAGCATAGTACAACGTAGTAGCTGATACTAGCAGCTAGATAAACAGTGATAATTGTAGCAGATAGTACTAGTAATAGTAAGTTACTACCGAACAACTTGAAGAAATAGTCAAGTGAAGAAATCATCTGAAGAATTTAGTGACCAACAGATAGTAATTAGTGGCCAACCGATATAGAACAACCGTAGTTGAACAACCATATTCAATAGCCGTGGTTGATAACCAATAGTCAGAAGATTTGCGCCGATCAGTTGAGCAGTCGTTTGGACGTCAGTCCACAGTACCCCAACCGCACCCACAAAGACGGCAGTATAAGAATCCACCGGAATCTATAGGTGTAGGACGTAGGCGACTCGCGGAGTATTTTCGACAACATTTACTCCCGAATTTCGCCCGTCCGGCACAGTAGGTAAATGTACGCGTCATTTCGTTAAATAAGTATTTGAACTCTATGTTAATTTACATTCAACTGAAACTATTATTATAATTATCCTTTTCCTCCTTGCTAGGCAATGATAGTGAGGCTGGCATATCCCACTCCTATTACTGTGGGATTTTTAGGAATTACTATAAACCGAATCGACTTACGAATACGAAACCTATGAGATAATATTAGATGATTGTTTTATAATGCTGTTACCACAATGCATAATAAATTAATTTTAAATAATACTAATTTTATTTTAAGAAAATAACTATATACCATTTTACTACGACCCACAATAATTACTCCGATCGGTGAAGAGAAACGGCGTGAAGGCACAATAAATAATAGTAGGTACAAGAAGTTAAAGTTACAATTACGACAAATCTTGCGAGATCAAGGATACAACCGTGCTTACAATATGATGATCATAGATAAGCTATGCTGATGATGATGTCGTTGAAAATACCTGCAGATTATACAATAAAAAAATCACTTTTATTTTTAGGTACAACATGATGGCACGTCGATTGAAAATGTTGATTTGCCTGAGCGTTATCGTGGCCACAGCATCTTCTCACGCTTTGCCTACTCAAGAAACGTTAGTGATAACTAAATCAGATGACGGCGTAAGTAATTTTAACCTCCTTCCTGATTATGAACTCAAAATTCTATACTTTGTTGTATTTTCTAATGTCACCTGACGCTATGTAAGTGCAAAGTGTCGAACATTAGCCTACAGGATATATAGGTCGACTTTGTCGTGGTCTCCCAAAGCTTCTGCCTATCATTATATGGGTCGAACATTGAACTCACTTAAAAGTATTGCTTTTACAATACAGATTATTGGTTTTCGGTTTGTGTATTATTATTGCTTTCGCTTTCCTGGATCTGCATCTGATCATTTCTTTGATCATATTCCGTCAGTTCTACATTGTAGTTATCTGGGAAGGTGGCGAATAAAAAGTGCCATTTTCTGGTTATTAGGAGAGACTATCACAGTATCTGCCAGTACAAAAAAACATCATCTCAAAAAGTGTTTTATGCTTAAAAATACAGTCTCACCAGACTGTATTTTTAGTTGATGTTTAGTTTTTAATAGATCATAATAATGAAGATATCTTTAATTTAACTGTACAATACTAAGCCTTTTACATGTACCTAAACAACACAATATCACCGAGATCATTTTATCCGATTATGCTGTTTTTATCTAACAAAATACAATGATAATTGAAGTCAGTTCTATGTTTTTCAATAACAATTTTATTTAAATAAGAAATTAGGAAAGTAATGCCATCATTAAATCTTCATTCACACATTTGTTTTCCAACAAGATTTTATTTTTGTGCGGAAACAATTAGGCAACCCTACAACCATTATTCTTATAAGAAAAGTGATTCATTTACTTTATTTAAAAAAATGTGATAAAATTTACATAAGGATTAAACTACGGGCTGTAAGTTATTTCATAATATTGCACCTGCAGTCTTGATATAGTATGTAATTACCCGCAAGTATCGCATGGTATGAACTGCAGTGGTAACATCAGATCATATTAATTTGCACGTGATAGAGCCATACTGCAGCTATATTAATGGTTGCAGCACGAATGGGTTCGCTCGACCGGGGAAGGACCACGCTCTGGCAGAATACTATCGTGAAATAGCAGCTTAATGCTATTGTGTTCCGTAGAGAACCGGACTCGTTTTACTGGATAAGAGGCATTTGTCCATCATCCATCTTAGTGCTCAGGGGTGACAACGCATTTGCATTTTAATTTCTAATCGAGCATAGATGTAGATGTCTATGGGCCACAGAATAAGGATGATTGTGTGCCCATTTGTAAACTTTATTCTACAAAAAGTATATAAGTAAACTAATAAATTGTATAGTTATAAGTAATATACGTTTTTAACTAATTTAAATAATTAAAACATTAACGTGTAGTTAATTAAAATTTGAAATATTGTAAATAGGCGACAGCGTCAGACGCTCCGACCACAGTGGTGACGACGGAGGAGCCTAATGCGCCCATCAAGTTAACGGAAATGAAGGTTCGGTCCGAAATCACTATGCGGTACGCGCATACTGCAATTGTGACCCACGTCAACAACCCCGCTAAGCGATCGCAAGAAGCCACCTTCAGAGTACTGTTGCCAGAGACCGCTTTCATCAGCGGATTTGTTATGTACGTGTCTAATTGGGCGCTTTATTTTGCTTTATTTTACGATTCTTGAAGGGTAACATATTACTTGCACGTATCAGGTACGATACACCTAATCTTCATTCTTTATACTACCTCGTCATCCCTTCAGTTGTAATTAACAGTCTTTTTGTCACCTTCACTTCTTATAAAAATAGAAGCGGACAGACAGCAGACACGCTGTTATATACGCGTCGAAATCTCAAACCAACAAAGGAAGATAGACCGAGCGCTCGAACATTTCAAGTTACGCCGAAACAAAGCCAAAACAACGCTTAAATTGTAAAACACGAGCTGAATCACACATATGCATCTTAAAGTATTTGCAACCAACAACATAGTATTAGGTGAATATAGGATACGAGTACATACCAGCAGTGGACTTTTAAGGGACTGATAAACTAAGAAACATAATAGATGTGAGCGTAAATAAAGAAGATCCTTGTTGGGTTGAGGTAAAAACAAAAACATTTGAAGGCACTTAATTCTCCCATGATGGAAAGTCTCAAATCCCATATATAGGATATGGTCGATCTACGTGTCAAATCGCATCTAAATCCATTTACCTAGTCATTTATGCGCGATTGTAACAAACATCCACACATAGATATAATATTAGTAATATTTCTATTAGTAATATTCTGTGGCAATATGTAGATTTCATAAGCTTGCAGAGAAGGTTCAGAATAAGTAGTATAGGCAAATCATCATCATCATCACCATCACAGCCCTTCACAAGTCCACTGCTGAACATAGGCCTTCCCCAAGGAATGTCACAAAACACGGTCCTGAGCCACCTGCATCCATCGACTTTCTGTATGTCTTACCAGGTCGTCACTCCATCTAGTGGGGGGTTGCCATACACTTCGCCTACAGGTTATCGATTCTTCGAGCTATATGGCCGGCCCAATGGCAGTTTAGCTTACTAATCCGTTGGGCTATGTCGGCCACTCTGGTTCTACTGCTGATATCTTTATTTCTAAGTTAATCACGCAGAGAAACCCCGAGTATGGCCATCTCCATAGCTCCTGAGCGACCTTGAGCTTCCTCATATGGCCAGCAGTGAAGGACCACGTCTCAGTTCCATAAGTCATCGCTAGCGACACGCACTGGTGTATAGTTTCGTTTTTAAGTTTTGTGGTATACCTGACGAGAATATGAGCCGTAATCTCACGAACGCTGCCCAGCCGAGTTGAATCCGTCGATTGATCTCTCGGTCGAAGTTGGATTTACCTAGTCGGACTATTTGTCCCAGGTAAACGTACTCGGCAACAACTTCGAGCTTAGTGCTCCCAACAACTACCGGCATAGGCAAATGGCGAAGAAAAATTAATTAAAAAAATCTCAAAATCTTAAACATGTACTTTTTATCTTTTGAATTCAAAATGCGTGGTAACGCATTATTTTAACTGATTTTACTGCGTACGCCCATAAATCACATTAAATTTAGGATAATTTCAAATAACAATATTGTAATAACGGTATATCATTATTTATATATTTGAAGTTAAGTTTAAAATTTGGCTACTCTTTGAAAAATAACCGTATAAATAACCGGTACTCAATTCGACTGTTTTTATTTTTAACTAACCCATAACTTCTTACTGGGTGAACCGATTTCGATGATTCTTTTTTATTTGAAAGCTTGTGCTTCACATTTGTGGTCCCGTATAAATTTGATCAAGTTCTGACCAGTAGTTTATGAGTTATTCCTAATAATTTATATTGAAGTTGGTTCTACAAAATTTTTAATCTTAAATTATTATTTTGTTCATCTTTGAAAAAGAATCTCAGAAGAAAAATCCTGTAAAAAAATTGTTTTAAAGAATCCCTTTGCAGCTACATCTTTAATAACACATTTCATTAATAATGTTTATAATTTTCAGGATTTTAGATGGAAAACCATATAAAGCGTACGTGAAAGAGAAAGAAGAAGCTAAAAACATTTATAATCAAGCCGTCTCTCAAGGTTTCGGAGCCGCTCATGTTGCTGCCAAGTAATATATTTTTTTAATCAACTAACAATAGTTATGGCAAGCATAACTACCAATAGTTACAAAGTTGCATAAAAAATACTAATACACGCTTACGTTTGTTTTTCTTTAATTTTATACGTAACTTGTGGTTCTGGAAAAGTTTTATTATAGATTTATTTGATTAAAAAGTATGTCTTCTGTTTAAGGGCCCGCGATTCGAATATATTCACAGTTTCGGTAAACGTGGAACCAAACTCAAAAGCAATGTTTAATTTGACGTACGAGGAACTGTTAACCCGCCGCAATGGTGTATACAACCACGCCGTGAACTTGCACCCTGGTGCCATGGTACCTAAGCTGACCGTCACCGTTCACATCAAGGAGACGCAGAAAATCACTGTACTGAGAGTGCCGGAGGTTCGCACTGGCAACGAAATCGATGCTACCGAGGAAGATGCTCGTAAGTATATTTTTAAAAATAGTGGAGATACATTTTTAGTAATTCGTGGGGATAAGCCTCTTTTGCTGTGGTAGCTCAGGGGTTTAGCGCTCGCTGTAAATTTTTCAGTACGCGAGCAACCCGGGTTCAGACCTTACCGGCACCAATGATATTGTTAATTGCAATTTTAAGTACTAATTTACCACGTACGCGGCGGTGAAGGAAAACATCGTGAGGAAACCTGCATGTCTGAGAAATAACAAACGAAGACATGTGAAGTCCGCCAACACGCATTGGGGCGGCGCGGCGGACACTTCCTTGCCTTAAAACCACCTCAGAAGTGAGAGGAGACCTTTGCCCAGCTGTGGGACGTATATAGGAAGTAACTTTAAGCCTCTCATGAACAATTTCGACTCCGGCAAAGTCAAAAGTTTCAAGTTGTGATGGACAACGGAAATTTGACATTTGAACAAAGTTAAATCTACTTTTAAATGTTAATTGTAAATAATTTTAGGATTACTAATAATTATGTGGTAGGGTCAGGGGCTAACTTTACAAATTTAGCCCCAGAGAGATAATTTTTAAGGGTAATGTCAATATTTAAGATGTCAATGTGCAAACAAACAAACATTCTTACCTTTTTTATGTTTACAATGTTCGTATAATTCAATACTAGGATACATTTATCAAAATGATGAAAAAAATAATAATATTGTGCTATAAAATATGTATTTTAAATTATTATGGACAGAAGTCAAACATTTATTTTTGAAATCCAACTAACAAACTAAACTATAACCGGCAAGGAATTAACTTGTTGGACAACTTTATAGCCTGGTCGAGTCGATGACATCTATTACTATAGATAGGTCATTGAATCGTAGCTTCTCGAAATATTAATGGTCTGACTGATCCTGTATTTCGACATACTCTTGTTATGCTACAAATATAAATAAATAATCTTAATGGTGGTGTGTGTGTGCGAGTGCATTAATTTCGTTTTATCGTTTTCGTTTTACCAAATCGGATTTTTAATTAATCATAAATTATACAAACATTTTATTAAATCAAATTAAAAAATTACATAGTATCTTTTTCTTTTTGATTAGTCGTAAAAGCCCACTGCTGGACATGGGCTTCTCCCGGACGATCGCACTACCACAGTCTCGAAACTCAAACCCGTGACGCTGTATTAATCAGCAAATCTGCTAGATCTTGCAAAATGATAATGATAATGTAAAATGTATATTTTATAAGCGAAGTGGCGATATATCATTTTTTATGTTTATCGTCCTAGTCCATTTTAAGGGAAAAGACAAATAAACAGAGAAAATTAACATTTTTCCTTGAGATGAAGTATCTGTATTTATTCAATTTCCTCATAAAACTGGTTCCCGAAGTGATGCTTCTCAAACTGTTGTCTATTTTTATTCACTTAAAGGTGCAAATCGTGCTTCAACCATAATATAACTGCAGCGTGACTCTAAAACGTGTGAAATACATAATTTATTCCATCCAGGATCAGACATTTTTGAGATCTATAGTTCAAAGCTCGATTCTGATTTTTTTAAATGATGTCCGTGTCTGCTTGTGAAACCTAATGATAGCTATATATATACTTTATGTCTGTGTGTATAAGTTTCGACTGGCATAACTCGACAAGAAATAATGATATCGTCTCCAAACCTATTTCATTTCATATTTAATTATATAATGCATTCATGGTTATATTTTATTCAATTTATTTTTGTGATTGTAGAAAATCCGAATGCAGTAATTGAGCGAGATGCTAAGAACCGTGAGGCGACTATAACGTTCACACCAGATCTCGAGGAACAGAAGAGATTAATACAAATTTATAAAGTACGTATGAAATTCTTTTTAATATAATTTAAAACTTTCTGGCAAAGTTGATGGTGATTGCGATGAAGAGACTAAACTCAATATACTTATTATGAATCAAAAAAGACAAACAGTCTATACTACTTATATTGAAAATTTAAATATTGACTTTTAGCCATTTTTATAATAACCTTATAATTTTTACATCCGTGCTTACATTAATATAAAGCATGCGGAAAAAGTTAAAATTGCTTTTTTTTTTATAAAGAATTGCCAGTACATGAAACGAGATAGTAGAGTCTGCCTAAAACACTATCATTTTGGCGATAAATATCATTTGATGCTCCACTCTTAAATATTGTAATAACACTTATTTTCTTTTCTTTAGGAAAAGTCAAAAGAACACTATGTGGATAGATACCGATTCGATGATCAAAAACAAACACCTCAAGATGGAGTGTTGGGACAATTCGTGGTGCAATATGATGTCGACCATTCCAAAGGCAGCGATATCTTGGTATGTTCCTGATTATTACTAAATGATTGGTATGATGTTCTGGTAACCACTAAACATAGGACACGGTTTATACTGGGTCATCCTAATAAGACATTTTCCTTGATGCGGTCTCTTTACACTACAGTCACATTTTGAAACACTATGTATAGGCATATTTTATATTTAACTAGCTAACCAAGCAGACGTTGTTCTGCCCTTTCCGACGACCCTTTCTATGAAAAAATCCATAAATTCGCAATAAAAAAATATTGAAGGTTACTTATCGGGATGAAAACTATCCTATCTATCAAGTTAGACCAAACTGCACACAGTGTACAAAATTTCATTGAAATCAGTTCAATAGTTTAGGAGTTCATCGCGGACAAACAATGTGACACGTAATTTTTATATATAAAGATTGGGATCTACATTGAAAGTATTTTTCCAAATCTATATCTATACATATAATAAATCTGTAGAAAAATAGTGTATTCACGATTCACACAAAAACTACTGGACAGATTTCCATGAAATTTTCTATGTAGACAGTAAATAGCCGTGTATAAAATATAGGCAATTTTTTATCCTCTTACGGAAAAGTAAAAAAGGGTTATGTTTTAACTTTTTTTTAGTGTGTGTGTGTGTGTGTGTGTGTGTGTGTGTGTGTGTGTGTGCGCGTGCGTGCGTGCGCGTGCGTGCGTGCGTGCGTGCGTGCGTGCGTGCGTGCGCGTGCGCGTGCGCGTGCGTGTGCGTGTGTGTGTGTGTGTGTGTGTGACCAGAAGTAGCAACCGGCGAATGTGTCCGCTTGCCGCTACCGGACACAGCAACTACGGTTTTCTGTGACAGTGTGCCGTGTCGGTAACAAAAAGGGTCCACATTTTCCCAGCGCTTAAGTCCTTTAAGTTATTTTCTATTAACAAGTATTAACATAAATTTTTTTTTACTAGGTAAATGACGGATATTTCGTCCATTTCTTTGCTCCAACCTCCTTACCACCGTTGAGCAAACACGTTGTGTTCGTGTTGGACATATCGGGCTCCATGAGCGGTCGCAAAATGGATCAATTGATAGAAGCAATGCAAACTATTCTCAGCAACCTAAACAAAGGCGATGTCTTCAATATAGTACACTTTGAATCCGCTGTCCAGGTATGTTGCACATAGTGATTATATTGTTATAGTGTGTGTGACCATGCGTCTGCACGCTTGTTAATGTGTGTATTTATTATTACTGCTTCTTCATAGTTTTATTTTACTATACTTTTTCAGGTCCTTGATATAACATCTGCGTCTGAATCGACTCAGCCTGTAGAACAAGAAAATCACTTCTATCGTGATACTTCATTCGATATACCGCCATTGCTACCACCTGTTGAAGCCACGCCAGAGAACATAGCTAAAGCTAAGTTATTGGTATCAAAATTAACGGCCGGTGGTGGTGCGTATTCTTTAATTCTTGTAGTCTAGTTTTAAATGAGGATAGTCTTAAATTTTTATATGTCATTTTAAAATTTCTAATAGTAAATTCTTTGCAAATTGTATTCACTCTCGCAGCTTCATGTACTGATTTTCTATCTTTAGGAACAAACATCGGTACTGCTCTAGATGTAGCAATCGCACTCATTCAAAGGATCGCGAAAGGCACTAACTCTACTGTTGATATTACCACACCGAAAAAGGAAGAAACACAAGTCAATTCCAACGACACTAAAGTGTTAGAAACTCAAGAATCTGCCAAGTCTGAAGTAGCTGCGGCTAAGGAAACAAAGAATGAAGATGAAGATGGTATGTAGATGTTTGTGTCCTAACATTTTATAAACTAATATATAAAATAATCTAACGCAATCGCCAATCCTGACTATACGTGTTTAAAGTAAACAATATTCTCACTTTCTCATCGATCATCGCAAATTTATGGGGTAAATATTAATTAATGCAATTTTTAAACTAGATAGAGGTAACCACAATGTAAAAATTACGAGTTTACAAAAATATTTTCCCGAAATTAATCAATTTTTAAGAAATTTATGGAGATTTTCAGTTAATCGGGCGCCACTTATTTTGATATATTGTTTAGATATTATGATTGTGAAATATTAGGGATTCCAAACTTACTGTTTTAAATGTTTGCTCAAAATTGCTCCGTTTATTACCATTTCAACACCCACGAATGAGTACAATTTGAGCTGTTACTTTTACATGAGAATATAAAAATAAAAATTCACACAAACATTCAACTTCCAGATGAGAAGGAGCCGATTATTATCTTCTTAACGGACGGAGAGCCGACCGTAGGCGAAGGAAATCCGTCTCGAATCATTCGAGTTGTCGCTGAAAAGAATTACGGAAAGCGCAAAGCTTCAATTTTCTCGCTAGCCTTTGGTAAGTTCTTTGATATAGGCCTAAACGCCTTATGAAAAACTTATGCCTTACGAAAATGTTTAAAAGAAACCTTACATTAAACGTGTCAGAGCCACACTGCAACTATATTATGGTTGCAGCATGAATGGGTCGGCTACACCGAGGAAGGACTCACAAAATACCGAAGTAAATTAGCAGCTTAATGTTGCTGTATTTCGTATGGTGTGTATAGACAACCGGAGACCCTTTTTACTGGTTACAAGGCATTCCATCTTTAGTCCTCGGGGGTGAAAATGCATCTACATTTTTAAAGGAGCATCCACTTACCAGGTAGACTGTGAGTTTTTCTTTATGAATACCAGCGTAAAATAGCAGCTTAATGCTAACGTATCGTTAAGTGTATAGAGCTTTTTAATTGCTCTACCATTTCATTATTATAGTTTATATTATTATAATATGAAGAATAATCAGCACCATGTTTAGAGATTACTTAAATTTGCGAAAATCTACGAGTCTCTAATAAAAATTCTATTTATTGATGCTTACTGTGGATTCTTTCTTTTAAAATAATAAAATGTGAAATGTATATAATATTTTTGTTTTTATGTCTTATGATTAAAATAACAAAAAAAACTTTTTACGACAATTAATTATCTTTGGATATATTTGAAATGTATAAGGTATAAGTATACATATAATCACAGTTTCCTACTATATATTTACTGTGATATAATGTTGAATTCGTGCTTAATTTAATTGAAATCCTACACAATGTCCCGTATACTAATTAACTTCCTAAAATTAACCCATATAATCATTATTCAATTTTGTATACTTTACATCTATATTTAATATAAATAGAATTTCGTAAGTGTGCTAAATTAAAAATTTCTTGTGATGTCAAATAGTAAGAGAAAAACGCGTATGTAAGATAAAAACCAAAATTCCATATGTATTTGTAGGAAAATAAAATGCAAAGTGTAATACTATATTTAATTCCGTTTAGGTGAAGATGCCGACCGATCTTTCCTACGCAAGTTATCCCTGAAGAATGATGGCTTCATGAGGCACATTTACGAAGCGTCCGACGCCTCGCTGCAGTTGAGAGATTTCTACAGACAGATTTCTTCCCCGCTTCTTGCTGACGTTAAATTCGTTTACCCGCCTGAGCAGGTCAGCACTTTACTTGAATAATGTATTAGTTAATGAATTGGTAGATTACACATCGATTTAAAAAAAAAAACATTATCCCAAGCCAGGATTTTCTCTTGTATCGCACAGCGACAAACTTACCGGAGCAATTATTAAAATAAAGAAACATATAAACACACCTGAACCTAAACATGTAATATGGAGTGGAGATGGTGTTCGAATATCTGAGATAATATAACATTATTAATTAGAACCAAACGGTTTGCTTCGTTTTGTAATGCGTACAGCAAGAGTGGAATAATTTGCCGGCGTCTATCTTTACGTTCGAATACAATCCTTCAAGGCAATAGACTTTTGTTACGCTAAGACAGTGCATTTATTATCTAGGGCTACATCACCACATACCACCAGCCGGGAGTGTAGTCAAGTACTGGCTAAAATAAATAAATAAATAATCATAACGCTTAGTCGAACCAAACTATAGCATCTTCGCAGCTCTGGTATTCGACTTTGTAATTTAAATTACTATTTTTGTAATTAATGTCTATCTTGTTTGGGTCTATGAAAATCCTCAGTTAATTTGACTGTGATTATTACAACGTTATGGGATTTTGATTTTCCTAATGCTGTAAACATTTAAATACTTACATTTATCATGTATCCATCGCAACACCCATTCTTATACGAGATAGAGTTTAGGAATTAATTAACTTTTAGTGTTTAATTATAAATAGGTGAAAGAAGGTTCACTCACGAAGCACAAGTTCCGTAGATTCTACGCAGGCTCTGAGGCCATTGTCGCCGGTCGCGTCGCAGAAAACATTGATGAACTGGAGCCACATATATACGGCATTTGTGGGGTTGGCTTAGACGACGTCGGCAGAGTAAGATTTAAAATAAAATTTATTTAGTATAAGTATCGCTTATCTAGAATTCTGCTTACTTTATAGTGCCCACAAGAGCTGTTAGGGGATAAACGCTTGCTGTAAATTTCACAGTACTCTAGCAACCCGGGTTCGATATCCGCCGGCACCAATGAAATACTTAATTTGCAATTTTGAGTGCTAATTTACCACGTGTTCGGCGGTGAAGGAAAACATCGTGAGGAAACCTGTATATCTGAGAAATAAGAAAAAAAGACATGTGAAGTTCGCCAACACGCATTGGGGCAGCGCGGCGGACATTTCCTTGCCCTAAAAACCCTCTCTGAAATTCGAGGATGCCTGTGGGACGTATATAGGGCCACTAGGTAGAAGGACTTTTCTGCGCATTAATTCATAGGGATAGGTGCCAAACTATTGCCGCCAAGCAGCATTGTGGTTACTGCTGGGTTCTTTATGGAGGAAAGGGCTTTTTATGTCTCAGTTCTCGGAAATGACAACTCACCTTAATATGCCTCTCTTTGAAGTTTTTTTGCAGGTATTAATGAGCTGCAGTAGCATTGATATACAAAAAAATGTGCGTGTGTACTTATGTACGCACGTAGGAAGTTAGCGTAACAAAACAAAAAAACTTGAGAGACAATTACCCACTGAAGTTGTCGATTTTAGGGGTCAGTGTGCGCGAGCATCGTAACAACTTCATGGTGTCGTTTTTAGGTGTCGGTGTACGCGCGCATCGTAAAAATTCACTCTTATCCTTTTTCCCAAACGCCCCAAAAGAAGTATAACTTCAAAGCCCTTTTTTTAGTTTTTAGTATATCAGTGTGCAGTAGCCACTAATCACCAGATGGGCCATTGCCTCGTTATCACCTTTATGCTACGAGTATAAAACTCAACTATTTTCGTTTTAATAGATATATTGGGTTCCCGTGGCATAATAATATTTGGTACTCTGACTATCTAATTATGTCATTCCTACAATGAAACAGGTCTGTGTTCAGCAAAGTGAAAACTAATTGATAAATTAGTTTTTGATAACCCATTGGAGAGAAAAATTAGGTAAATGATGGGCTTGTTTTGTGTCTTCGCGTAATCTACTTACATATTGTTAATTATAGTTATTAAGTTTCCAGTTTGAAATAAAATAATAACATAAAAATATTACAGAAGCGTTACGAGATAACGACTAAGACGCCGGTGTCTCGCGACCGCGACAGTTATCTACCTCTAGAGCGGCTGTGGGCTTACCTCACCATCCAGCAGCTACTCGACGAGCGGCACATCACCGATCTCAGCGACGACGACGAAAAGAGTCCTGCCAAGAAAGCCCTCGCTCTTGCTCTGAAGGTATTCATCTTTTTGCTTAAAAGAAAATATAATTTTCTGTGCGTTGCTAATCTAGTGAAGGGAAAGGTTTGTACTGCTTTTTAAACCTTATGCGCGCTCGAAGGAATGTGAGGTTTGGCATAGGTAAAGTATTTTATGTAGGAAGAGTGCAGCAAGTTAAAATTTATATATACTAGCTAAAAGTACAACTTAATAATGCCTCGCGAATTCTTATAAAAAAAATTAAAAAAGAATTGTCTGCAAAATATGTTATTGACCTTGGCCAGACTATGGTTTGGACATTGTCGGAAACTGAGAGATTATCCGACATTTTTACATCTAACGTGGTACTACTACAAAATATTTTTTTAGTTTTCTTACAGATGGCGTTAGTAATACAATAAAAATCTAATTAATGAAAATTGTTATATCTTCTATTTTTTTTAATGTGGATAAAATAATATTTTTATGATTGATAACACATCTAGACATGAATCGAAAATAATATGTCAAAGCGCAAACCTAAAAGTGTCGTAGTTTCTTAGTAAAGTGTACCAGAAAAATGTATAGATTGTGGGATAGTGCAGGGCTCGCTTCGCTTGACCTGATTATATGCGTTACAAATACATTACCTCAATATAATAAAATAAAATTTCATTGTTCACGTTCGTACTGCCAATATGTCTGTAGTTTGTTTAACTATTAATGTCAAACACACAACAGTCTGTGGTCCAACAGTCTCACAGACTAGAGAATATCGCCAAAGAATTTAAAGTGTCTCCAACGTTCCTTTTTTAATAGCCTGTGGAGTGAATGTCAATGCGAAAAAGCGTTTATTTTATAATTGCAAATTAGATATCTATGTTATATTGTGCAGCTGAAAGTTAAATACAGCTTATTTAAAAAAAATTAATGAATTACAGTCGAATTTCGATCAATGGGCGACCACTAGTGTAAATTAAATTAATAAATATAATTTAAAGCTTTTTCTTTATAAAACTACTCTTTTTATTTTATGATTTAAATTACGTCCTCTTTTTACAGAATTTTGATTTTCCTATTTAAAAAATTTAAGTAAAGGTAAAAATTCTGTATGTGTAAACAACATGTTTTCGATTATTTTTTTTTTGATTATTAATGTTTACAAGGTAATAAATATTCTTTTTTTCCTTATAACAATTGAAGTTCATCCGGTTTGATATGAATTAATTGTTTTTGCCATCAAGTATCAAATCGGAAAATAGCTGTATTCTAATTTGAGGATTTATAAGAGCCAGTCAGTATAATTACAGAATGTGAACCATTAGATCTTATTCCAAAGGTATGAAAACGCATCTGTGGTATTATTTTATTGGAGTTGGTCGCAGTAGGACTGCACAGAGTGTGCGAACGGAACATACGAGTAAGTGGTCGCACGGTGAACATCACAATGTAATATTAAAATTAAAAACTAAACTAGACATAATTTTGTCACTAAATGAACATTATGTAGATTCTCTTAGGCTGCCACTACACAGAACACCTCGAGATATCATTGCGTAGGTGATGATGATGATGATGATGATGATGATGAAATAAACAAGTAAAATATAATTAGCATTTATTACCAAATCATAGTCAAGTCAAGAAATGTCTTCTTGCTGACAACTTGTTAAAATATTTAAGAACTTGCAAATTAACATCGGTGATTATTTCGTTGTCATAAAACATGTCGATTCCAAAGACGTATTATAATAAAATAGCACAAATATTATTTTTTGCTGAAAAAAATTTATGTAACGAAAGCTGAATGTTTAGGTAAATTAAGCATTGTGCATTCATATTCAAGTATTTATTTATTTATTTTTACGCTTAATTTTTTTAAAGGTTACCCTCACACTGTTTTCTCCTTTTCTTCTAACTAATAAGGGCTAATAATCCTCCACTCACCAGATGTCGCTAGTTGTGACTGGGGTAAAGTTGTCTGTTACACAATGTCACTTAATTGAGAAATTAGTTTTAAATAACACCATCAGTTTCTAGAGTATTATGTTAATACACAATACAATGCGTCAGTGATTTGATCTTTAATTTTTGGTACTTTATACCTATTCTTTATTTATTTTTATTGGCGTTTAGTTATATTTATAGTTTGGTTTATTTATTTTTAATGTAATTAATATAAAATATAACTAATAATACAGAAAGAAACATTAACGTTTACATTCTTCTAACAAAATATCTTCCCCGCAATGAAATGAGCGCCGCCCTCGTCGCAGTAAAAGTCGTGGATTGTACATGTTATTATTAACAATAGAATTATTAAATATTCTACTAAGTTTTTTTTTATTCTTTACTAAATCTACTTGTTATTCAAAATGTTTTCTTTTACAATTTTAGTATGAGTTCGTGACCCCGCTGACGTCGCTAGTGGTGGTGAAACCTAACGCTACAAGTGCTGTGAATGCGGAATCCGTAGATAAAGGTGATTGAATCATACAAATTATATATTATACTAGCTGTTCCCCGCGACTTCACCCACGTGGAATTTCCTTATAATATTAGCTACCTGCCAGCGAAAGTCCCATCCAAATCGGTTCACAGGTTCTCGCGTGATGCGTGTTCAGACAGACGTCGTGTTTGAGTTTTATTATCTTTAGCACCTTTACAGCTTTTGAAAATGTGTATTTTAATAAAGGAACCCAGACTGGTTATAAATTTTAAAAAAATATGTAGATAAATAAATTAGGGAAACGTTTAAATTACGCGGTAGAGCCAAGCTGCAGCTACACTCACCGGCACGGAAACTTGGCCACTCGTGAATTTGCTGATTATTTGCACTGAAACGCTTTTTAACAGTAAATTAAGGGTAGATGCATTCAATAAGTGTCTCTAATGGTTTTAGAACGTAGAAATTTAATGTTTACTTCACCGAAATTTTTCTTTTCAAGATAACATGTTTTCACTAAAATTAACATCTTTCCATTGTCACTTTAAAAACACTACAAAGTTAAAAATTAAGTCTGTTTCTTTATTGTCTATCAGTTTTAATATCGGGTGTTTACTCCCCTAGCCCTGATAACCGCTTGCATTCGATCTGGCATGCTTTGAATGATGTTTCTGACATCAACTTGCGGTATGCTGTCCCAAGCGGCCAGCGCTGCATTTCGGAGCTCATTTAGAGTTTGTGGCGGTTTGGAGCTGGACTTTATCTTTCTTTTGAACATACCCCATACATGCTCAATTGGATTTAAGTCCGGGCTACGAGCTGGCCACTGTAATTTTTGTATTCCAACCTCTTCCAGATATTCCTCTACACAATGTGCGACGTGCGGGCGTGCATTATCGTGCATGAGGAGGAATTGGTCGTGTCCAATGAATCCCGAATAAGGAATTACGTGCTCCTGAAGAACTTCCTCGATGTATCGAGTAGCTGTAAGCCGATTATCGACGATGACCAACTCTGTACGTGCGTCGGAACTTACACCTCCCCATACCATTATTGAGCCTCCATGGAAACTCACAGTTTGGGTGGTGGTAATGGGTAGAAACCTCTCTCCTCTTTTTCTCCACACTCGTTCTCGACCGTCTGGAGCACGTAAAGCTATTCGACACTCATCTGTGAACAACACTCTAGCCCATTGCTCGTGGGTCCAATTGAGATGTTCTCTTGCGAACTGAAGTCGGGCTACTCGGTGCTGTCTGAGAAGTTCTGGACCTCGTGCTGGTCTACGAGCTTTTAAATTCACTTCCTCCATTCGTCTTCTCACCGTACGCTCACTAACATTAACGCCTCTTGCGATTTGGAGCCGCTGGCGTATCTCAACAGCGGTCAGGTAGCGGTTTCTCAAAATCTCCATAACAATAAAACGATCGTCCCGGGCCGATGTGCACCTTACGCCCCCACTGCCTGGCCTGCGGGTGTAGCGTCCTGTCTCCTGGTATCGTTTCAGTGAATACTGCATTGAGGACCGTGGTACGTTAAGCACAATAGCAACTTCACGCTGTGTCAGCCCTTGGTCAATTAATGCTACTGCTTGTGCAACTTGTGCTGGTGTTAATGGCATTTTTATTGGCTTTAAAGCACCTTTAGTTATTGAATTAAGACACAAGATCACAATAATTGAATAACCTTACAGTAAACTTTTCACAACACACAAATTTAAAATGTGAACTTAGTCGCTGAAATGACCCGATTCAACTAAAAATTAAAGAATTCGTCATGGTGCACTTAAACATAATGAATTACCCTCTTGAACTTGAGAGCAAACATTTTTTGACATACCTGCATAACAAACATTCATCAGAAACACTTAAAGCTTTTGCTATCGCGAGATAACCGCTTGGCCAAGATTCCGTGCCGCTGAGTGTTATATTATGGTTGTAGCACGAATGGGTCGACACAACTGCGGTAGGTCCCACGCTTTCACAGAATGCTAGCGTAAAATAGCAGCTTAATGCTGCGACCTGCGATGGTTTGTAGTGTAGAGAACCGGAGACCCTTTTTGCTGAAAACGAAGCATTCCATCATGGTCCTCAGGGGTGGCAACCCATCTGCTTTCCCCGGTCGAGCCGACCCATTCGTGCAACAACTATACTATTAATATAGCTGTAGCATGGCTCTTCCACGTATAATCTAACTTTCCTAAGCTCTTAAATTTCATAAAAGTATAACTCGTCGCATGTAGTTGCAGTGCGGAATGTAGTACCCAGCGTCAATTACAAACGCGTTCTATCTAAAAACGTGTTTAGTCCCATGGAAGGGGGGAGTAATCCCCAGAGGAGGATTCTAGTTGTAAAGAAGGCATTCAGTAATAACTGCTATTTAACTCGGGTATTTAACTCTATCAAGATCTGCGTGAAGGAAAAACCGCAAATGTAAAAAGAAATTAAATTTTCAATGTTTGATTTCAGAGGCAGGCTCTCCATTCAGCCCCTGTAAGTAATTTATAATCTTTCATTTATTGGATATTTTAACAAAATTTTTAGATCTACAAAATAAAAAATTAACACCGTCTTTTATCTTTCGATATAAATAGAAAATAAATAATAAAATTGATAAGAAATTTCATACAACAATTAATTTTCTTAAATGTTTTTTTATCAGCATTACCGGGGTTCGCTCCATTACGACCTAGTGCCGGTTAGTTATTTTTATATTTTATATTGTTATAAAATTGTTTTAGATTAAATTTTAAAGCCTAAACAGTCTAAAACATAATTAAATGTATCAACATCATCATTAATTTCATCAATTTCACATTTCCTTCCAACTAATGTTGAACTTCCCGCGGAAAGCTAGTCACGTATTGGCAATGCAAGAATATTCACTACCTCATATCATCCCGTGGGTGCCGTAAGAGGCTACAGAGGGAACAAACCAGGTATACCCATACCTTAGCAGCGTCTTCCTAATAAAAACTAAAAAAAAACTGCGTTGCCAAACCGCCTGCTAAGTATGACGACTATAGCAAATATCCTTCTTATGAGGCAAGCTATAGAAGAAGCCTATATTTAGCATTGGACTTTTAATGGGCTACAACGATATTGATCACTTTCAAGTAGAGTTGACATCACTTATTTTGAACAAATGAAGCGTTTTTTAAAGTAGAAAAAAAAGTCAATGTGTAAAAAGTTAATTCTATAAAAAAAAACTTTTTTTTTATAAAATAAGAATGACAAACGAGCACACAGTCCACCTGATGGTAAGTGGACGCTATAGTCCATAGACATCTTCATCTATCTTCGATGAAGAATTAAAATGCAGATGCGTTGTCACTCGTTTGCATTGAGGACTAAGATGGAATGCCTCGTTTCTAGTAAAAAGGGTCTCCGGACCTCGACCCTCACCTATATACGAAACACAGCAGCAGAAAACTGCTATTTTACGCTGGGATTTTGTGAGAGCGTAGTCCTTTCCCGGTCGAGCAGGCCCATTCGTGCTGCAACTATAATATTGTTGCAGCATGGCTCTACCTCGCTTCGTTTAGCAACAGTCTCCTTTATCATAAGGCTATGCCAGTGCCTGTTAGCGAATTTCACACATGTCTCCGAAATATTTAATCCTGTTTGATGCTATCCGTTAATATGTAAATTTACGATGAAACTTAGTATTTCCCTTTTCTTAAACTGAATACTGAATATTACTTTATAGAATCCTAAACTAATCGAAATTTCTACTTTCGAATAATTTATTACCCCCAACAAGGTATCATAAAAGAAAGTTTATATTTGAATAGCTCACTGCGCAAAAGCAACTAATCTGAGGGGCGCGTGGGATATGAGGAATTAGGAATTCAGTCCCAACGGGGTGTTTTTCGCAGGCTAATTATAACTAAAAACACATTCTCGTAAGCAGACCGCACGTTCTGTGTGCGAGAATTAAAAAAAAAAGTGATTGGATGATTATAGCACGGAGGAAGTTTTGCAGTCATTGTGGTTTGCATAATTTAAATGATGTGCCACGTATTTTCCTTATTCGGAAATGGATTTAAAAAAAATTAGGAGAGAGGTTCAATCCTGGATAAACCAAAATCCGGGCGACCAAGGTCATTAAAAAGGGGCGAATCCTTAGAGCGTATAATCCAATAATCCAATTGGTGCAAGAATTAAAACCTCAATATGCCAGTCGTAGGCTTCAATTAGTTAATTTGTTAACGAGCGCTTTTCAACATTTAACAACAGTCATACCCACTTCAACGGCCATGTAAACATTGTTACAATTTTTCCATGGCCGTTGTATTGTAATTGTACAAAATTGTTACGTTACTGGAGTGAAACGAATAAAAAACGCAAGCATAAGAAACATCTATATTCACTTAGAATAATCGGTCCGTACTTTTTCGAAGACGAGTACTATAAATAAAGAAAAAGGAATGATATGTAGAACATGCATTGCCAGTTAAAAATAGTCTATGGGGGAGGAATATGTTCAGCTGTGTGTGGACTTTTGATAAAAATCGTAATGATACTTGCATGTCTAAGAAATAAATAATATCTAGGACAAATGAAGTCCGCCACTATGCACTGAAGCAGCGCGGCGGAGTATCGTTTCATAATCCTCTCAAAAAAAGAAAGAAGGCCTATGCCCTGCAGTGGATCATGTATAGGCTGTACTTAACCTTTTTTAATTATAAAAATATAATTTAAAAAAAAAAACTTGCGTGAGTGTAGTGGAACAATCGGTTGCAACGAAGTTCCTATCGTAGTATATTATTATTGATAAATGTATTATATTATTGATTAACAAATACAAATAAACGAATTACTAGGGTCTATTAAAATGAAGCGTCATTTAAAATAAATTAATATTCCCTTCATGGTAAGATAAGAAAAAGTGCGAGGGAGGTGGATATTATTCCCTCTCGCTTCCTTTAGCCGCCCATGCCGTCTACATCAGAAGGGGCCGTGACGGAAAAATCATACACTTTTTGTCGCCTAGCCCCATCCGCGAAATCTGTACCGTCCGATAAAGAACTTCGTTCCAATAAAAGTAAACATCAATTCTTATAATCTTCACACTTATCTTTTGCTGAATATTATTTTGTTTTGTTTTGTAGTTCAATCGGGCGCGTTCAGTGGTGTGCCAGCATACCCCGGAAGTAAGTGTTCTTTTTAATATACGTAACACATATTACGATTTTAAATCAAAGCTCTAACTTTTCATTATGCAATATAATTAATTTGGTTTTTATCATATCCATTTCACCCATTTACGCACATATTTGGGTATAACACGTTTCTATTCTGTTTCTGAAATTATATATATATACATATTTACGACGACGAAATTTATTTCACGACGTTAGAAAGAAGGAATTTCAGAAACAGAATAGAAACGTGCTGTCATCCGCATAGCAATGAATGTTACCGGTTTGCACATATCATTGATATGCAGAAGAAACAGCGTTGGTGATAGCACGCAGCCTTGTGGATTACCAGCCACCAGCGTTAATAGGCTTGTAATAGGAGCATGCAACGTCTACTATGACCTTGATGCTCCGATCTGTCAGAAAACTGGTGATCCAATTGCACAATTTCTCGGGAAGCCCATAGCAAGGAAGCTTCGAAAGAAACACTTTGTGCCAGACCCGATCAAAGGCTTTCGCTATGTCCAAACTAAAGGCCAATGTCTCCCCCTTGGACTCGATCGCCTGCACCTATCTATGTGTTAGGTAAACAAGAAGATCACCAGCTGAGCGACCCCGACGGAAACCGTACTGGCGGTCGCTAATCAGCTGGTGCTCCTCAAGAGCGCCATTATTTTCGAGAACAAGGAGGTGATGACGATAGGCCTGTAGTTGGACGGATCAGAGGGGTTACCTTTTTTAGGGATCGGGTGCACGAAAGCTGACTTCCATGAATTCGGGACAACGCCTAGGGAGCAGGAGTACCGAAAAAGACGCGTTAGAACCGGTGCCAACTCTGGAGCGCACGTCCTCAGCACATCTGGCGAGATGCCGTCAGGCCCACTCGACCTGTGTATGTCCAGGGAGAAGAGTGCGATTCACTGGCGCTGCGAAGAAATGGTGCATCTCTTTGCGTATTTTATCGCATCTACCACGTGGAGGGCTCTGAGGAAATTGTTCGGATTAATTCCAGCCGCTCAATTTCACCATCGTACATCGCGATAAAACTCGCGACACCATCCATACCATCTGGATGATTGGCGGTCCACCACTGTGCGATTTAGAAGATGTTTTCTTCCTCGTACAACTTCCTTGTGGAATCGATTACCACCAGCGATTTTTCCGGACCGATACGACTATAGAATAGAATAGAATAGAATGATTTTTATTCAATATGGATTATTACATAATACTTATTGAAAGTCATTATTTTATTTACTACTGGTTCGGAAAATACCTCTGTCCTGGGAAGAACCAGCAAGAAACCCAGCGGGACTTTTTTTAAACATAATTTCACTTAACAATAATTTTGTTTATACAATTTTAAATGAATTTTCATAGAACCAGCATGGTGGCGATCACCTTATTCCCAGGGGTTATTTTCATTCATGTATTCCTTGATATTATAATAACCCTTTTTGTACAGTTTTTCTTTAATAAAACTTTTAAACTTGTTTATTGACAAATTTTGAACATGTTCTGGGATTTTGTTGTAAAAGCGTATACATTGTCCCATAAATGAACTACTAATTCTGTGGAGTCTAGTAAGTGGCATTACAAGCTTATGTTTGTTCCTAGTGTTTAAGGTATGAACATCCTTATTCTTATTAAAGCTATTTATGTTTTTATGTACATACATTACATTTTCATAAATATATTGCAATGCCAAAGTTAATATGTTTATTTCTTTAAATTTTTCTCTGAGGGACTCTTTACAATTTAGATTATAAATCGCCCGTACGGCTCTCTTTTGCAAAACAAATATTATAGCTTCAATATCAGTCGCATTACCCCATAGCAAAATTCCATAAGACATTACGCTATGAAAGTAACTAAAATACACTAACCTAGCTGTCTCAACATCTGTGAGACTTCTAATCTTTCTTACAGCATATGCTGCAGAACTAAGTCTGCTTGCTAATTTAGATATATGGGGGCTCCATTGAAGTTTCGTGTCAATAGTAATACCGAGAAAAACAGTGGTATCCACAAGACTCAACTCCTCCCTTAGGGACCGTCAAGAAAAGAGTCTACTCCTTTTTAAAAGGCCGGCAACGCATCTGCAATTCACCTGGTGTTGCAGTTGTTCATGGACGGCGGTAGTCACTTACCATCAGGTGAGCCGCATGCTCGTTTGCCTCCTCTCCTATAAAAAAAAAAACTTAAGGAATTCCCGTTATCGTAGGCTCATATCCGATATCGCTCAGTGGTCCTCCTGCACCACCACCAGCACTTTCCGCTGCTTACGAAGATTTTGAAGAAGATTATGGTAAGAAACAGAATAAAAATATCACAAAAGCTTTTGTATGCAATTAATTTAAAGTTTTGTTAATATTTGCATTCTTTAAATGGATTTTTTTTTAACTTTTATCATTGGCGGCAGCATAAACAGGGTTATAATTTGTAACGTGCTTATATTTTCACCTCGAAGTTTAGTTATCATTTTGGTGGCTAAAATGCACGGGCAGTTTTACTTCGGTGTGCTTCCAACAGAACTTGATCCAGCAACTCACGGGTGGGTAATTAACTATTTTATGTTCATTTCAAAATGTTATTCACTTAAGAGATGATTTAGTGTACAACTGTCCAATAATCTCATTTTTAATTATAAACTTTTAATAGAATACTGTGTCTAATACCTTCAAAACAATTTTTTTCGGTCTAGATATTATAGATAATAATTATAGTTAATTATATAAATATAAAAAATAGACAGTAAATTCATATGGGACTCGTGAGCCATTGATATTTTAAAGTAGGTAAGCAATCAGACCTAAACGAGGAATGTAACGCAGCGTCAGCGACACGGGGATAGTCTCTACAGATAGGTTTCAAAACGTTGATACACGCAAGTACTGACATTTGTATAAATTCCTATAATCGTTCCACTGCTGAACTCATGATTCTTACGCTCTGCATTGAAGTAACGTATAGGAAACTTCATTTAAGGCACCAAATATACTTTCCATATTTTATTTTATTATTTAAAGCGACCTATAATAAATAGGTCTGAAATATACCATACACTAGGTTTTAATTACTGTATCGTGTACTTAGCTTTTATGTATAAATTATCAAACAACCATACGCGGAACATTTATTGCAGGGTGATTTCAGAATATAGAAACACTTGTTCCGTTGGATTCGATCACCTTGACTCCGCAACCATACGTTAAACCACAGCACCACCGAGACGTCACAATTTCAAAAATATATATTCTCGTCAGAGCCGGTCTCCGATAATAACAGATATATTACTTCAGGTCATCGATATAATATGTACTACGCACTAGATTTCGCATTCCCAACATTGACTATGTTCTTACACTAAACTAAATATTGCGTAAATTGAAGATTTGTGAATACCATAATATAATTATTATTACATTTTATTTAGAAATATGTTTGTTTAGATTAAAATAAGAGTATTTTATATTAAATTCTTATATTTATTTTATATTAATATCTTATCTATACAAATAAATAAAATTTAAGTGTCTGTTTGTAATGTTAAAGTAACAGCTTTTTACTAAATGCATATGAAAGTATATACGATACTTATAACAAGAACACAGTTTTTTTAATTTTTGTCTGTCTGTTTGTCTGTTTGTTCCGGCTAATCTCCGAAATGGCTGGACCAATTTTGATGGGACTTTCACTAGCAGATAGCTGATGTCATAAGGAGTAACTTAGGCTACTTTTATTTTAGAAAAAGAATTAGGGTTCCGCGCAAAAAAATTAAAACCCTAAATAACACGCGTGCGAAGTCGCGGGGAACAGCTAGTTTTATATTAAATTAAAGTTTTCGCGCATACTCGACTCTACTATCTCCCGCGCATGCGCGAAGACATAGAGTAGCGCACAATTTTTGTTTGGAAAGGCTTCTCTAGTACGTAGTACATATAACTCGATGCTCGAACTTCAGGTCCCTGTGAATGCCGGCGTAAAAGAATCCACTACCACATATCACCCCGTGAGTAGGGTTACCAGATGAAATTGAAACAGGAAACGGGCAACAGCAACTTCCTGATAAAAACTCAAAATAATAAAAATCTGTGGTCGCAACCCGCCTGCCAAATGTAGTAACTAAGGTAAATATCCCCCTTATGGAGCAATATATGACGGAGGCTTTATTACTTATGGTACGATCACTAATAAAAAACTAGATATGCAATCAGTGACATAAAATGTCCTTACCGAATGAGCGCCCACTCGAACATTTGGGTGCGCTTTTAATTTGTACATAACTTTGTGAATACAACTTTAGGCAGTGTAATTAAGGTTGAATTTACATTAATTTATATTTGTTTTAACTAGAATTATGACAAAACAATTGGCGACAGTTTTTGGAGAACTTGCATGGGGAATGGGGATTATGTATCTTTTTTTTTATAGGAGAGGGAGCAAATGAGCATGCGGCTCACCTGATGGTAAGTGACTACCGCCGCCCAGGAACAACTGCAACATCAGGGGAATTGCAGATGCGTTGCCGGCCTTTTAAAAAGAAGTAAGCTCTTTTCTTGAAGGTCCCTAAGTCGTATCGGTCGAGAAAAATCGCTGGTGGTATTCGATTCCACAGGGAAGTTGTGCGAGGAAGAAAACATCTTCTAAATCGCACAGTGGTGTACTGCTAATCATCCAAATGGTGTGGATGGTATCGGGAGTTCTGCCGCGATGTGCGTTTGTGAAATTTGGCGGCTGGGATTAATCCGAACAATTCCTCGGAGCACTCCCCGTGGTAAACGCGAAAGAAAATGCAGAGGGATGCAACATCTCTTCGCAGCGCCAATGAATCTAGCTGATCGGAAAGGATTCGGTCGTCGACGATTCGGGCCGCTCTGCGCTGGATGCGGTCAAGTGGAAAGAGCTAGCACTGGGGAGCCCCAGCCCAGAGATGGGAACAGTATTTCATCATTGAGAGACCGAACCTGCGCCTTGTAATGTTGCAGGCGTTGTGCCGGCATGAAATACTGTCCCGCTCTGCTGAGCACGCCAAGCTTTTTAGAGGCCAATTTGGCCTTCTCTTCCATGTGACCACGAAACTGCACGTCACTCGATATGTCGACGCCGAGGATTCCGATACTGGCTGAGGCAACAAGGGGAGTACCTTGAAACTGAGGAGATACGACAAAGGGGTTATTTTTAGCGGTAAACGCGCAAACTTGAGTCTTCTGAGGATTAAACTGAACTAGATTTAATCGCCCCCAATCCGAGACTTTGTTCAGCAAATACTCGACTTCAGACACAAGTTTGTTTCGGTACTCGGCGACGTTTTCCCGAGAAATATTGGTACGGCCGGTGAGTAGAGCATCACCAGTGCTATCATCCGCATAGCAATGAATGTTACCGGTTTGCAACATATCATTGATATGCAGAAGAAACAGCGTTGGTGATAGCACGCAGCCTTGTGGAACACCAGCGTTAATAGGCTCGTAGTCGGAGCATGCACCGTCTACAACGACCTTGATGTTCCGATCTGCAAGAAAGCTGGTGATCCAATTGCACAATTTCTCGGGAAGCCCATACGGAAGCTTCGAAAGATGTGCTTTGTGCCAAACCCGAACGAAGGCCTTCGCAATGTCTAAACTAACGGCCAATGCCTCCCCCTTCGACTCTACTGCCTCCGCTCATCTATGAGTAAAGTAGACCAGAAGATCACCAGCTGATCGACCCCGACGAATCTAAGTAATATCTAGTTTTTTTATTAGTGATCGATGCTTATATCCCATAAATAACACGTATACTTTTGTGTTGTGAGTAAGTTCACCATTTGCACGAACACTGTGCCGATACACAAGTAGCAACTGACTTCGATATAAATAAAATATGAACATATATCAATGTAGTCGAAGTCTATTAAATGTGCATTATTAACGATAACTCAAAAACTACTTGTCAGATCTTGATCAAATTTATATGTGACCACATGAGAAGTATCAGCTTTAAAATAAAAAATGAATCTTCAAAATCAGTTCAAAAAGTTCTGAGTAACACACATCAAAAATACAGTCGAATTGAGAACCTCCTCCTTTTTTTGAAATCGTTCACGGTAGCACAGCAGTGGGTTACTGATTACCGCTGCATGGCGGTATAAATAAGGCAGAGGGTAGTAGCAAATTAGACAGATTACTAGGCAGAAAGCGAACTCTATCACGAAAACAAACAATAATTTGTCTATTTGCTCAAATGGCTTCGGCTGGAACCTTTGACCATTAGGCCACATTCACTTTTATATATATGAAAATTTCAAAACTTATAGCTCATTATGTAAACCAGTTTTATAATTTCTTACAGGTAATATGCTGCCACAATCAATTTCTTTGCAGTCAGCCTATGGTAAGAATATTTTACTTAAACCTAAACTATCTTAAATCCTACCACTATGCTAAATTAAAACACCGAAAATATGTCAATATATATTATTAATAAGTAGGTAAACAAAATCAAAGGTTTGTCCACAATACCAAGAACATATTATATTATAAAGTACTACGTAGCAATACCATGTCCGCTGTATATTGTATATAAATAAAATCATTTTCAGTGATTTTATTTATATACAATACTCGTGCAAACTGTCCATGCGGTTGGAGCTAAGTTTTGCAAGACCCGCCGCAGTAGAATACAAAAACTCTCCGATCACACTCTTAATCTCATGGCTGTTAGACGGGAAATGAAGTCGCAGTTTTCAGTAGATTTGATAGAATACAGGCAACTGAACAGACAGATCTCCAAACGCATGCGGCGGGATTTACGCAACTTTAATACTGCTCGTATTGAAGAAGCGATCGAGCGGAACCAGGGCTCCCAAAGTCGTTGCCAGAGATCTGTCTGCCAGAAAGAGCCAACTGTCAAAGCTGAAGACAGAATGTGGCAGCATCGTTTCCGGGACACCTGAGATTTTGACTGAGATTGAGAGGTTCTATGGGAAGCTGTACACATCGTCACACACACACACGCAAGTGTGAGTGACGATCCAAGAGCAAGTATTATCCGACACTATTCCGATGATATCCCGGACGTCAGTCTGAGCGAGATTAGAATGGCTCTCCAGCACCTTAAAAACGACAAGGCCCCAGGCGAGGAAAGTATTAAAGCGGAGCTTCTGAAAGCAGGTGGAAAACCGGTATTTAGAGTCCTTCAGAAGCTTTTTAATACCGTCCTCCATGGTGGCACTACACCGGAGGCGTGGAGCAGAAGTGCGGTGGTCTTGTTCTTCAAGAAAGGCGACAGCGCTTTCTTGAACAACTACAGACCGATTTCTCTTCTGAGCCGCGTCTATGTGCTGTTATCGAGAGTCATTACGAATCGTCTCGCACCCAGACTCGACGACTTCCAGCCTCCCGAACAAGCCGGTTTCCGAAAAGGCTTAGCACCATAGACCACATACATACCTTTCGGCAAATTGTACAGAAGTCCGAGGAGTACAATTGACCACTATGTCTGGCGTATGTGGACTATGAGAAAGTCTTTGATTCCGTAGAAATTTGGGCGGTGCTGCAGTCCCTCCAGCGGTGCCAAGTGGACTGTCGGTATATCGAAGTCGACACACACACACACACCCACACGCACACGCCCACGCACGCACACACACACACACACACACACACACACACACACACACACACACACACCTTCGATTTGCCGACGATATAGTCCTTATAGCAGAATCGCTGGAGGACCTAAGCACTATGCTCAATGACCTCAATAGTGTCTCCCAACGGATAGGTCTTAAGATGAACATGGACATAACAAAAATCATGTTTAACGTCCATGTCACACCTATGCCGGTAGTTGTTGGGAGAACTAAGCTCGAAGTCGTTGACGAATATGTTTACCTGGGACAAATAGTCCGACTAGGTAAGTCCAACTTCGACCGAGAGGTCAATCGACGGATTCAACTCGGCTGGGCAGCGATCGCGAGATTACGACATATCTTCTCATTAGATATACCTCAAAACCTCAAAACTAGATTGTTCAATCATTGCGTGTTGCCAGTGATGACCCATGGATCTGAGACGTGCTCCTTTACTGCTGGCCATATGAGGAAGCTCAAAGTCGCTCAGCGAGCTATGGAAAGGGCAATGCTCAGTGTTTCGCTGCGTAATAGACTAAAAAACGAGGATATCCGCAGTAGAACCAGAGTAACCGACATAGCCCAAAGAATTAGTATGCAATAGTGGCAGTACTAGTAGTGGCAATGAGCCGGCCATATAGCTCGAAGAACCGACAACCGATGGGGAAGAAAGGTACTCGAGTGGTAGCATCGTACCGGCAGGCGAAGTGTAGGGCATCCCCCCACTAGATGGAGTGACGACCTGGTAAGACATGCAGGTAGTCGATGGATGTAGGTGGCTCAGGACCGTGCTTTGTAACATTCCTTGGGGGAGGCCTATGTTCAGCAGTAGACTTGTGAAGGGCTGTAGTGATGATCATATATATACTATAATCCACCTAAAAGAAATAACCATCAGGTGGACTGTGCGCTCGTTAATCACCTATACACTATAAAAAAATATTTTAAATAAATTCTGCAATGATCACGGATTCTCCATCCGCTTCTTCTTGCCGCTGCATCTTTTAAAGGTGACTTTACTTATTCTTTTTCAGACATGATGCCAACTGGAATGTTTCAGCTACAATCAAGTAAGGATTTACCATTTATGCACACTGCAATTTTATCAACATCTTTCTATCCATAGCTTCCGCTTCTTCTTTCCGCTGCTTCTTTTAAAGGTGACTTTACTTATTCTTTTTCAGACATGATGCCAACTGGAATGTTTCAGCTACAATCAAGTAAGGATTCACCATTTATGCACACTGCAATTTTATCAACATCTTTCTATCCATAGCTTCCGCTTCTTCTTTCCGCTGCTTCTTTTAAAGGCAACTTTACTTATTCTTTTTCAGAGAGGATGCCAACTGCAACGTTTCAGCTAAAATCAAGTAAGGATTTACTGTTTATGCATACTGCAATTTTATTAACATCTTTCTAAGTATACATAATATAACAAAATTCTAAATAGCCTGGGTGTCAGTATATTACATGCCTTAAGCGCAGAGCGCGTAGGTACAGTTCTACTAGCGCCTAATAATCAAGATTCTAACGTTTTGTCGCATAAAATCGTATCTAACAATCATATTGAACATAGAAATGATATAAAAAGCACATTGTCAGAAAGATAAATGATTGTTGAACTTTTTTTTTTAGATCGATTAATTGCTATTTTTACAAAAAAGTGGTGTTAGTAGCTTATGGTGTAGATTTATCAAGGCCGCATGGAGTGGTAAACACGATAACTTTTGAAAATATCAATTGTATAACTAAATCTATTTTTTAATCTCTTCATCTATCATGTGGGAAGCCATAGAATGTAAATGGCAGTTTAATTTTGTTTTGTTTAGTTATAATTAGTTTTTTTCAAATACGAGGTGTCGAAATTTTCGGTGTTTTAGCAGCCTTGTATTAATTTTACTAAATAGACTCCCTCACTCACTCATTTCGGCGTCAACCGCTGTCGTGAGTGGATACTGTATCGGTTATTTGCAGCGGCTCATAGAGATCGCTGCACAAATACAAAATATTCGAAAAACCAAATTTCATACATACCTCATTATTATAATAATCAGAGATGTTTAAATAATAGTATGTTCGCGCAAAACGTTGATGTCGGAGTCGACACCAGATGTCACTCGGCTCGGCGCGATTCCGGTTTGAACTTCGGCTGGGGCGTGGCACGAGCGCGCGAGTCGCGAGCGAAAAGTCAGTCGTCTTTAATCGGTGCTGACGTGAGCACGCGGTCCATTCTGTTAGGGAACTCGGAATAATTCGGCGCGGCCAGTAAATATACGGTCTATCATTGTGACGCGCATTCCTACTGGAGAGCTTCCCGGGACTTATTGTGTCTGACTCAAAACCTGCATAAGTGCATTCGGCAATATTAGATAGTGCTGCCTCTAATATGCTAGAATTAACTATTGCTACGCGAAACGGTAGTGACCTTTGACCCTTTAAACTCCGTGTGCGTTTGTGCGGGAACCATTATACCCAGCGATAGTTAGTGGCTTCTGTAAGTTAGTAAATCGTACGATAGAGTTAATTGACTGGCAACGTGACGAAAGAAGAAAGTGACTGTGGACTACCTCGAAAGGCGCCCTCAAGTTGGAGCGGTGTCGACGCTCGGGCTGCTGCCGACGGCCAAGGTCTAGGTTCAATCACCATCAGTCACACCCAGATACACACCACATCACCATTCCTTCCCTTGCCCTACACAACCACATGCGACCTGACCGACTCCGGAGGGACCAGTCGCCTTGGATAGGTAAGTAAGCTTAATCCAAATTCCTTCCGGTCGACTGGCCGTAGTATAACGCTCCCCCATATATTTTAATGTAATTAGGAATTTCCACGTGGCCTTAGGAGGCCCGACCTACGTCTGTTCGGGAGGTCTTCAGCTCATGGGCCCCTGAAGATTGGATCCTTTAAGGGAGCAGCCGTAGGCCGTAACAAACTGGTAGCAGAGCGCGATTCCGGGTTCGATTCCCGGTCGATCCCGACTATAGTGTTTGATAAACATTAAACAATTTTGGTGGCAGGGAGCGTTGGTGTGATTGGTTTAATTTGCATCTACAATCACGCCCGTCCGTAATACGTAAAAATATTTTTTTGTACGTAATAATAGAATTATTTTCCTTTGTTGCTTTGTTGCTTGCCTTTTTTTTGGTTAGAGGGTAATTTGAAAAGCCGCGCCCTAGGTTGTGCAAGCGGGAGTTTTTCTAGAGATATACGTCATGTAGGTAGATGGTTATTTTTACGTAATCGGTTAATTATCGTTGTCGGATAGTTGTAGTGGATTACTTATCGAAGGTTCGATTTCCGAGCTAGGCATTGTTGTTGATCGACCGTGATGTGTATCTTCGTTTATACTGTAACTTGTATTTGAACTAAAGAGTAGTAATTGTATTTGCGTACTTTGAATTTAACTTGATTTCATCGCACTAGTATTTGTTATTTGTTAATTTGATTGTGTCTTTTCTTTTGAGCTAACTTGTATTTGGTTGATACGTAGTAATTCGTATTTGTGTAATTTCTATTCAACGCGATTTGATAGGAACTGCATTTATTAACTGTTAATTTTTGTTGTATTTTTTGTTTGTTATCTTTGTAATTTGTGCTCGAGCCGCGTCGTAATTTGTATTTAATAGTGATGACATCGCCCAAGCTACTGATCCGTTGTTTGCGGACTGAGCTACGCTGGGCCACAAGCGCCCATGCTTTGATAGGTCGACCGGATAGGGTCCATAACTTGATGAAGCAGTTCGAGCAGGTGGATGCTCGAAGGGCCGCAGTGGAGGAGGCTTACGCTGAGCTCGAGGATTCGGATGTGGAGAAGGGAGTCCTGGACTCCTGCTTCGCGGACTATGAGCAGTTCTTGTGGCTCACGGACGAGTTGATCGAGGCTGAAGGCAGGTATGCCGAGGAGGCGCGTGAAGCTCGGATGAGTGACCTGTCCGAGTCCTCTCTGAAGCAGCTTCAGCCGAAGCTGTTGGGACGACTCCCAACTCTGGACCTGCCAAAGTTCTCCGGGGTCCTTTCCGAATGGCTGACCTTCGTTGGTCTTTTCGACAGCCTAGTGGACGCCCGGAGTGACTTGACCCCGAGCCAAAAGATGGTGTACCTCCTGGCCTCGCTGGAGGGGGAGGCCCTGGGCGTCGTCGGCCACTTGAGATTGTCGGACGACGCTTACCAGACTGCTCGGGACCTCCTAGCCAGAAGATACGCCAACGTCCGGCGAATTGCGGACGAACAGGTTAAGCAGCTTCTAAGCCTCCCGCTGCTTAGTGATCGGGCCAGACTACGTCCGGACCTGTTGGATCCAGTGTTGGTGGCCTGTAATACGTTGAGGCGGCTGGAATTACCAGTGGGCGAATGGGCTTTTTTGTTGCTCCGCATCGTGCTGTCCCGTCTACCTCTCGACCTTCGAATCCATTTTGAGGAGAGGTACGGCGGGGACGAGGCCTCCTATATTCCGCCCTTCTATGACCTGCTGCGGTTTTTGGAGGAGCAGTGCCGGCAGATCGAGAACGCGGCGGGCACTGTTGACGACTTACGAGACGTGCCCAGTGAGAGGCTGAATCCTCCAGGCAAGTCGTCGTCAACCCCCCCCCTGCTCATATTGTCGAGCGTTTGATCATCGGGTAACGTCGTGCCCGAAATTATTAGGTAAGCCGGTTCCAGCGAGGCGAACTATCGCCAAGGAGCGCCGCTGGTGCTGGTCATGTCTGGGAGGACACCTCCAGCGAGACTGTCCACATCGGCGGCCCTGTCTGCATTGCCAGGGCAATCATCATGCCGTTTTGTGCCTGAGTGCGAACGGCGTCTCCTCTCGGGGCTCTGCCAGGCCCTCGACCCCCACGGGCGGGGGCGCTCAGCCACGCCCTCTGCCGGGCGACTCTCGGTGCCCGCCGGCCAGCCATCAGGCCCCTAAGTTTGAAAGGGGTCCCTCCCCCGACCAGTCGGGGGGTAATTCCCCCAGGGGCGGGGGTGTCATCACCCCCCCTAAGCGTGTGGAGAGGAACTTCACGGCCACTCATCGGTCCGCTGGACCCTTCTCACTTCTGTTAGCTGAGTGGCCGCGACTGGTGTACCACTGTTCCCCATTTGATGGAGGCGGCCCTGTCTAGCTGCCGCCTTCGCTCCCACCACGGCCGCCTCCACTGAGCCTTAAGCCGTCAACAGTCCACTTGTCAAAATGTTCTGTTGCCGACGGCCTCAGTGAAGGCGTACAACCCGAGTGGCAACTGTTAGAGGTTGTGCTCTATTTATCTCGGGTTCACGCCATGTGGCCTCCCCTTGGTGGTGGGAAGATTAGGGCCCCTCTGGAGCGTTGAATCACGCTGTCAAGGGGTATTGGATTTGGTTTGATCGAGCACTTAGTCAAAAAAAAAATACTTGAATTAAAATTAAAAATTGCTTTGGGCTTTCCGCGAAATTTTCCTATTTGTAGCGGTTTAAATTAAAAGAATTGAATCTAATCTACTCCTTTAAATGCTACTGCATGTGTTTTGTACATATATTTAATCACTGTAGTTGATTGTTGCGTCTGTTTGCTGAAAGGAAAATTTGAATTCATCTGAAATTGAATGGCGCACTATTTGAAAAATTATGTTTATGTTTATGATAGTGTTTAATCATTTTGCTTTGCGAAGAAGTGGGGCTGTCCCTTACGTTATTGTTTTGTTTAATTTGCAAGTTGACCTATGCGCATCGGTGATTAATTTGGTTGAATTAATTCTGTAGTTGAACATTGATGCTTTTGAAAAATTAGTTGAAATATGAGCATAGGACTACTTGCCTAACAGGCTAGCTAGTTTTGGAGATTATCAGATTGAAATCAGCTGCCGCACTATTTTAGTAAATGATAATATGGTGGGTGGCCTGGCTAGGCCTACTTGTTGAAATTCATACTAGGGACTATCTGTGCGTTTCGTTCGGCTCTCCACAGACGACGTTCATGTGGAATTGGTGGGTGCTCTTTGCACTGAAGCTTAGGAGGCCGCTCGGGGCCGCTTCGTGTCGCGTCGCTGTTTGCAGACCTGATCCGGTCGGATTGCGGAACTAATCATAGGGGCACAGATAGGTGTTTGAAAGAGGTCGTCGGACTTCTGTCCAGTACAGGACTTGATAAAGTGCTGCGATGCCCAGGAGGGGCATCCAGTGGAGGCTGACCCTCCGGCTTGCCACGTTAGGGCTATCTTTTGAGGCGCTGGTTGGGGTTGCAAGACCTGTTGGGTTGCCTAAGGTGGCCTAGTTCGGTTGTAGATTCGGTCTTGCAACTTGCAGTCTCGACCTTGTCCCGCTGACCGGTTTGCTCGCGGACCTAAATCCTTATGTCCGGGACGGGGGTTTGTTCGCGCAAAACGTTGATGTCGGAGTCGACACCAGA